GTGTTCGTCTTCACTCCGTACGCGATAGTGGAAACCCTTGGATTCGTAGCGCTCAAAGCGCTGGCACTCGGTGCATAGAGTGCGAGGCCAGTGGGTTCTACTGCTGTCCACGGGATGACGATCAACTCGTTAAATGGCAACAATATCGAGTAAGGTGGAAAGTGTGTATCGATAATGACAAACCCAGCCTCTACGAACCCTGAACAATGATTTTCCAGAGGGAAGTAATATCGTCTGCCGATTCGTGCGACCGCTTCTCGTACGTCCCGCTCGCATACACGTGTCCTCTCCTCGTTGTAAGGAAAAGGTCATGTTGATACGGGAGATACGGGAGGCTGACGCCTGATCGAGAGGACGTTTGTCAGTCCACATGTCAATCAATTGCAAAAATCCCGAGACGTCATCAAGGAAAAACACTTGCACAACCACCAATCAATTCTTTTCGACACGGGAGAGAGAGAAAACACCCATCAGCTTGATCATGCATGTAACTGAGGGACCGACCCGTTGAGGGCGGCACGCGTGTCTCTGCCCCCTGCTTCAGCAATTTCCGAGTTACCCCGATAGTCGACATAGGGGAGGCTATTAGTGCGAAGCTGAAAGGGAGTGAACCCCGTGGACTCATGAGGGGTGGCCCGATGAATTCCGACGATTTGATACACGATCTCGGGCCACGGGCGCGTGTCATGTGCCGCTAAATTCCTACGAAGGGCGGTTTTAATCATACGGTTGGCATTTTCGGCCAATCCGTTCGACTGAGACACGAGCATGATGCCCCTTCGCGCGAGCAGTTCCTCTACTTCGCCTTTGAATTCGGACCCATTGTCGGTCAGAATTTCTTCCGTATCTAGATGGGTATAGAGGAACCGATCGATGTACGTGGCTATTTCTGCAGCCTTGCGGGTCTTGCATGGGTAGACCTGGATATACTTGGAAAAATGGTCTATTAATACTAAAAGGATAGAATATTCACAGCAGTTTGGGCCAGGTGGCACGTCAATATCTCTCTTGTCCATACTGACTCGTTGGAAGGGGCGTTCTACTTCCGTTGGTACTATCGTGTTTGGTCCCCGTATTGGGGCGCGATCAGCGACACAGACCAGACAGTTGGCGACAACGTATCTGACATCATCTCGTATATTGGACCAGAACCATCGGTTCTGGTCCATAGTTGCCTCCATGACACATATCGCGAAATGAGCGGCCTGCTCTTCGTGAGCAAATCGGGTCCAATCATATCTTTGGAATGGATGAGGAACTGTCAGCCACGAACCCGATCTGTCAGTTTTACGCTTCTCCAAATGACCGTTGATCCATCGATAGTCCTGAGATCTCTCTATAGCCCTATGTCTGTCGTGTTTGGTGAGGTGATCCAATGATAATCCCGCTAATTTAGCTAATAAAATTTTATCCGTCCAAACCTCCGCTCGACGGTATTTCTCGTCACATTCAGGTCCGTCCGTTCGGGCGGCCTCGAATCGAACCCCTATGGTAAGTTTGGTTGTTCTACACAGGAGGCACCTCCACTCCTTGCTACTCGTCCGATAGCGAACGCAGGCTCCGTACGCACGATTGACACACGTGGCACATTCTACCCAATCGACAAACCTGGTTTCGAAAGGATGACAGTCAACCCCATAAACCCGTGCAATACATGTGCAAAAATAGCAGAATTTATCGGGGAGGGTGGCAAAGAAAGCGGAGGAGGTGAGAGAGGCAGAATTAGTAGGAGAAGAGGGGGTCGCAGAGACGGGTGGGGTAGTCATGATGGCAGAGAGGGAGAGATGGGACAGAATTGCAGAGGGGGCAGAAAAAAAATAAAAATAAAAATAAAATGAGCCCCGTGTCACTTACTCCTTTGACAGGATCTCCACTTGGCCGTATCGAGGTCCGTTCTCCTTCTTCGGTTCGTTCCACGGAATCACCTCCTCATTCTTCGGAACCTTCTCAGGTCGGTGCAGTCGTGTCAATCCGTCCGCATTCCCGTGCCTTTCGTGTTTCCGGTGACGGATGTCAAAGTCCATGCTCTGCAGCACTGTTGCCCATCGCCTGATCATGCCCGAGTAATCCTTAGATTTCTTCAGGGCTAGCAGAGGCTCATGATCGGTTACCAATGTGAACTTCCGCCCGTACAAATAAACTCGAAAGTGACTGATTCCCCAAAGGGTCGTGTACCATTCTCCTGTTGGAGCCGCGTAGTTACGCTTGCAGGCAGGCACCGATTTGGACGCATACTCCACCACGTTCTCAAGTCCGCTTGGTCCCACCTGGGCCAAGATCGCCGAAATCGCCTCTGGCTGCCAGTCAGTAATGAGGACAAAGGACTGGGGCCGAAATGAGGGCGGTCTTGAGTCCCGAAAACGCTTGATCACACTCCAGCGTCCAGATCAACGGCTGGTCGTTTCGCAGCAGATTCATGAGGGGTCCCGCAATCGCCGCGAAGCCCTTGATAAACCTTCGGTAGTACAAGGCCAGGCCCAGAAAGGCGCGAACCTGCATAATAGTCGTAGGCCTCGACGCATCTCTGACAGCTGCCACCTTCTGCGGCTCCGGTCTAAGTCCCTGGTCTGTTACCATGTGTCCTAGGAAGGAAATGGTGGTAAGGAAAAACTGGCACTTCTCGAACGCCACCTTGAAACCAACATCTCGTAACGCATGCAACGCCCATTCGATGTGTTGCACGTGCCCTTCGTAGGAACCCGAATACACCAAAATGTCATCCATGTACACAATCACGCAGTAGTTAATGATACTTTGCGCCAGACGAGTCTTCCGCACAAAGTTCTGAAAGGCCATGTTCATGGCTCGCTGGAAAGTTGCTGGAGCATTGCAGATGCCCGTCGGACATCAAATCCACTGCCACGTACCTTCGAAGAGTACGAATGCAGTCTTCGGGCGATCTTCTTCTCGGACAAGAAGATGATGGAACCCATGGCGAACATCAAACTTGCTGAAAAATTGAGCACTCCCAATCGCATCCAACAACTCATCAATCCGGGGGAGAAGGTACACATCCTTGATCGTGATATCATTCAACTTTTGATAATCGATGCAAATGCGAATTCCTCCGGCCTTTTTAGGCACAATCACGACGGGAAAAGACCATGGTCCTATAGCGGGTTCGATCCATCCATTAGCTTCAAATTCTTTGATCCGCTGAAAAGCGGCCGCTCTTTGAGCTGGTGAGTACCTATAACTTGAAGGAACGCAGCTAATGGGTGGATGATCCCCCGTGAGAATGGCATGTTCAATCACGTTAGTTAGACCGATATCATTATCGCGCACACTCAATACTTCCACGTAGCCATTCAAAACATTAATTAGCGACTTTTGGAGTTCGGTGAGGACGTGGTTTGGGAGGGAGATTGTCGGTCGTCCAGGGATCTGAAGAGATATGTCGACCCAATCAGTCGGCCTTTCCCGTCGCTCATGGACACTGAAAAAAACGGAACTACTGGTGCGAATAGAGAAGACAGTCGCAATCATCTCCGATTCAGCAGGACTGATCATTTCGGTTTCCTTGGCTTCGGCATCAGTCTCTGAACCGGCCGATGTTTTTTCCATAGTTAGTCCCGTTAGATCCGCCATCTCTTGCATCAGATCGGGTACGCCGCCTACCGGTGCTTCGGCCTCTCGTTTAATCAAAGCGATGGTCGCTCCCATTGTTAGCAAAGATCTTGGTGAGAAAACAGAAGCATCCACATATTGTTCTGTCTGTAGGTAGCGTGCTCGTAAGGAAAGCGCTCCCTCGTACAAGGTGTGAGGGGGTTCCAAATCATCTGCTAGGTCAAATACTTGCAGGATGGGCTCTCCGAGGAGGGTTGAGGGACTGATCCGGGCTTCCATAGGCGCGAGCGCGCTGTCTTCCGAATCCACGTGGAAGCTTCGGGCGGTTCTGGGGCACACTCGAAACTCTTCGGGGGTTTCGTGCTCGAAAAGTTCGACCAGGTGCTTCCATTCATCCTCACTAGGCATTTTTTCTTCGTACACCTGTTCCCCGATTCCGCTACTGAGGTCCGAGGAAGAAGGTTCCTCAGGATCGATGCCTTGAATCATCCCTACTTGGGCAGAGTTAGGAGTTCGTTTCATCGTTCGGGTGGAAATCCGCAAAGGGACTGTCTGAGGCATTCCCCCAGTTTGCGTGAGCACCAGCTGTTTGGAGTCGAAATGCAGATGAGCACCTACCGCCATCGCCCAAGGTAATTCTAACAACACAAAATAGGAGCGCACATCTATCACTAGTGCGTTAACAAGGACGTGTACTCATCCGGCCTTCACGACCACATTCTCAATAATACCTACGATGTTCATTGCTTCCTCGTCGGCAGAGACATAATTGTCTTTGCCAGATTGAGGAAGAATGGATCTGAGTCGTCCTGTCGTTCTTACTGTGTCTAAGGATATGGCCACTGCGGAAGACCCAGTATCAATAAGGGCGTTAAACGGTTTGCCCCAAACTTCACAATCGCACTCATCGCTTTTCCACAACACTGGTCGAGCTCGTACGAAGTGATCCGTCTCTACGAACAAAATCACAGCTACTCGTGCTGCTTCGGGTTCACTTGTTTCAGGTTCAGGTGGTGCAACCTCCTCGCCTCCTTTCTTCTTCTTCAACATTTGTTGTACTCGCAGGTACATGAAGCGCTTTTGATTTTTCTGGCAATGTTGCAAGAGTTTATCGTTTGCAGCTTCGACAATGGTGAGCAAATGCCCCACCAAGATCGGAACACGGATATCCAGTTGCTTAAGCTCTCGTAATACATTAATTTCTCCCGTCCGAAACTGTGGACCGGGATTGGATTCGCGATCGACCCATTCAAGATCATCATGGGCCGATCGGATTGCTCCGACCATGCCGGCGAGATGAAGATACTCGAGTGGATCGACCACATCAGTAGCGTCGGAGGAGGAAGAAGCTCCCGAGGTTGAAGCAACTGCCGTTAAGGGGGAGGGTTGTTCATATGCAACAAGTTCCCCTCCTTGGGCCGTGTCCATCAGTGCGGCCACTCGTCCTCGGTTCAGAGCTACAGGGGCCGCGGCTGGTGGGGGTTGATTACGTTTCGGCTGCGGACAGTCCTGGGCAAAATGTCCGGGCTGTTTGCAGTTAAAACACTCGACCTTTCCTGCTGGATTAGCTGGGTGAGGGAACTGTGGGGCGTACCCAGGTGTAGGCGGGGCAGGCAAGAGGGGAAATGACGCAGGGGCAGGTCGAGCAGGGGCCGGGTTGGGCTTAATTAGCCTGCTCGTTATCTGTTCCATCCGCTCCATGTGAGCTGCCTGCATTTGAACCAGGTTGCTCATCCATTCAGATTGTTAGGTGGTGGCCGTATAGATCATTTGTGCAAGACGTAAGTTTGTTACGGCCTGGGAGGGAGAATCGTTGGGGATTCTGCTTCTAACTGCCGCTACCTATGGATTCGTTGGGGGCAAGGACGACGAAGCTAACGGGGTATCAGAGGCGATCCCGTCAAGGAGGTCATGGGGATAAAACCGTTCTACCGCCCGTAACCACGATCGTCTTTTAGCTGCTACATCCAGTATCGTATCTGTGATGTCTTCGTCTTCTTGACTAATATATTTCTCTTTATATCGGCCAGGTCTAACTCGAGGGCTTTAGCGATGATAGCCGACAGCTGGTGAGTTTTCGGGGGAACCTTTTTCTGTAACTTCCCTTTCAACGTCGGACTTCGTAGATGATTGATGAACAGATCTCGAGCGGATTTCTCATCTCGCCCAGATTTATCCAACGTGGTTTGAAATCGATCCAGGAAATCAGACAACAATTCCCCTGGTCCTTGCAGACGATTTTTGAGTACGTACCAGGCGGCATTTTTGCTGACCATATCGAATCGGGCCAAGAACGCTTGTTTGAAAGTATTCCAGTCTACCCACGTGTGCTTTCTGAACCAGTCATGCGACGTATTGCGAAGTAGCAAGGTAAGAACGCGGGGAAGATCACCCACGCTGTATCATTGAGCTTCGACGGCTTCCAACCAAGCTTCAGGGTGGGTATGGTTAGGGAAGAAGGGGAAGGGGGCAGGAATGCTAACCATCACCCTATTACCGTCGGCCACTGGCATAGCGGGTGCAACCGTACCATATCGCGACCTGGTCACTGGGCGGTCTCTTCGAGCTGGTTGAGGGCTTCTCCTACCTCTCGCCAATTCGACTTACTATCATCAGAACCGACACGTGTCGGCTCCGATACCAACCTCACGCCCTGTGTTGTCTTTCGTTCGGAGTGTTAAAGGTGCGGAAAAGGGGCCCAGAAAAACAGCAAGATAAGGTGTGCCAAGGATTTTTGAAAATTGAGTGTGGGGACACAGACGGAACTCAAATCCCCCGTATTGGTCTGATGAAGTAAGTCGACCGTTTTTCGCACGTCGCAAAATACACGCGAGAGTTTTGCGCAAAAGGGGGGAGAAATACAAATTCAATCCAAAAACTATTGTCGGACTTCCCACCGTGCTACGGCCCTTCATTTAGAGCGAAAAGGTTTCGGCACGCTTCGCGTGTCTCGTCTTCATATTAAGTCCTGACGTCGTTCACCAGTCAGTTCTGAGTCCGACGTGGAGGGCCTCAGTCGTGTGGCTCTTTCTCTGTGTTCGTCTTCACTCCGTACGCGATAGTGGAAACCCTTGGATTCGTAGCGCTCAAAGCGCTGGCACTCGGTGCATAGAGTGCGAGGCCAGTGGGGTTCTAATGCCGTCCACGGGATGACGATCAACTCGTTAAATGGCAACAATATCGAGAAAGGTGGAAAATGTGTATCGATAATGACAAACCCAGCCTCTTCGAACCCTGAACAACGATTTTCCGGAGGGAAGTAATATCGTCCGCCGATTCGTGCGACAGCTTCTCGTACGTCCCACTCGCATACACGTGTCCTCTCCTCGTTGTAAGGAAAATGTCGCGTTGATACGGGAGATACGGGAGGCCAACGCCTGATCGAAGAGCGTTTCTCAGTCCACATGTCAATCAATTGCAAAAATCCCAAGACGTCATCAAGGAAAAACACTCGCACAACCACCAATCAATTCTTTTCGACACGAGAGAGAGAAAACACCCATCAGCTTGATCATGCATGTAACTGAGGGACCGACCCGCAACTCAGGTTTAGTAAGCTACCGCGGCGTTGATCCCAGGCGCCTTGTTTCTCGAGGCTGCCCTGTAGATCGGTTGCAGATGTCGTGCAGCATAAGACAGATGGCATGCGCAGTGCATTCAGAACTACAAATCTAAACACTCTTGCATTCTCGAACAAGATCCCGCCGAGTGCGGCGTCTAATCAATACAAAAAGACAAGCATCTCCATACATACATTCACTGTGAAAGGGGCGAAAATGACAGAGGTGCATAGGTCGGAAATCAACCAATGAAATTGTACACATGCATCCACCGTTCACAAGACAGGAGGATCAATTCCTCGACATCCGGGGATTACCCAGGAAACTACTGGAAGAGTTCTGGAAGAAGTTCCTTCACACACGGGAGCACACAAATTCATTCTCATTCATGAGAGGGACAAGCATCAAGACACATCGTCATTCAAAGATAGAGGAGGGAGAGAAAGACGAGGGAGGAAGGTCGAGATAGGAGATGACAAGATCCGAAAAGAGGAAGTTCAGCGTTGCCGCCGTACACTCACGCCAGAGATAAAGATCCGCAACAACAAAGGCGCATTCGCCGTGAATTCCAATATGGCCCCGGGCCAACCACCCACTCAACTCCAATCATCGATCCTCATGCCCGCACCGACGATCCTGGACGTCGCGTGCTAACTCCCACCAATGCGATCGTCACCTTGCCGACGTAAACTCGACCTGGTTCGCCCAGATCCCACAGTCCGTCGTGGCGATCAAGCGCGCAACCGGCCAGCCTATCGTCAGCCCGACAGGACTTTCCGACTCGCACCAAACACTCTGTCTAGCCACTGCTTCCTGGAAGTTGGCTTGGGAGTCGAGAATGTAAGAGAGATTTGCGGGCGCATTTGCGGAATTTATAGTGGCGAGAAGAGGGGCAAGGGAGAGAGAAGGCAGGAGGAAAGTCGAAGTGTAAGAAAAGAAGCAGGAGGAGAAGACTTGGCGAGGAGCGCGCTACAGAAGCCATGTTGATGCTTCGGGACTCCGAGCTTCGCCAATCAGATTCGTCGCGCAATAGGCAGATCCTATCGTACCACGCGTTTCATTGGTGGGCGAGAGTAATCGAAGGATCGACCGGGCTTCCGATTCACAACGAAAGGAAAAAGGGTGCGAGAAGTAACGCAAGACGGGTCCAAGATTTAGATGATCAAGAGAGGGAAATGGGCGCAATTGATCAGAGCGAGATAGAGAGAGAGAAAACAGTTGCAAGAAGTGAGGATGAGAAGGGGGGGGAGGAGGAAAGACCGAGGGAGAGAACGATGTGGGAAATAGAGCGGGGGGGGGGGGGGAGAGAAGAAAGCTTCGTTTGCGTGGCGCTGTCAACAAAAAGAAAAAGAAAAAGGCACCGAAACAGTTACAGCTTGCCTATGTCCTAAACCAATTCAAAATTGAAATCACCATATCCGCGCGCGAAAAGGACGATGCGGGAAAAGAAAGTCCTACGCCTATTCGTATCCTTACAAAATTCTGAGAGTGTTCCCCAACGCGACCGAGAACATTCACACACAAAAAGGACACGTCGAAGCTCCGCTTATCCCGGAATTCCCAACTGCCGGGCCCAATTCCCAGTGCGCTCGCTAAGGCACGCGTAAATTCCTATGCATTTCCTGAATTGCAAACGAAAAAGCAGAACCGAAGAATCACAAAAGCTTCCGGAAGATGGGGGCCCAAAACGCGGCGCCCGAAATCAAGAAATCAAACGGGGTCCGTATGATACAAGAAAAATTCAAACGAAAGGGGTACGAAAGATAGCACGGGTTCGGGAAGTAGTTCATCATATCCTTGTATGTCATTCCCCTATCTTCGAAGACTTGCTGATTCCTGTTTTTGCAGATCACTGCCATACAGACTGCCCTTGCAGCCTGTGCCATATAGCCCGCACCCTTCTTCGTGTCCAAGTTGTCTGGAATTCCACCTAGCAGTGCCCACTCTCTGTCCCAGTTAAGATATGAGCCCACCAGTTGCCGCTATTGTTCCGCCCACCAGTCCCAGATTCGCTTAGAAGCCGGGCAGTCATACCATAAATGTGGAGTAGACTCGTATACCCAGTTACATCTTTTACACGTCAGATCCACCCTCATACCCCTTTGTGCTAGGTTGACTGCTGATGGGGTGGCCAACAGGGAGAGTGGCCACAAGTTCGCTGCCAGTCTCGGGTAAGGGGCTTCTGCCAGCTTTTCCCAGCCTCGTAACAGACGGTGCTCAATCACTTCAGGTTGAGTATCCAAGATTTGTTTCCATCGAGCTACAACCACTTTTATGGGAGTTTTGGGAGGTGTCTGAGCTTGGTATCCAAGGTCCACAGTGTAGGAGATTAATGGCAAATCCTCCCCTCCTTGCCCTTGGCCTTTGCAGCCCCACATCCTAGGATCCAGATTCAGCTGATTCAGTGGCTTACCTTGGGCATGAACCTTGCATGTCCAAATTCCTTCTCCATCACAAATTTCCCAAACTCTAACCTGGGATAACTGAGATCCCAATTGGGGTTGAGTAGGGGGATCAAGCTCGGTCAAGGTGGAGGGAGATTGCTCATTAATACCAATCCAACCTTGGAATTCTCTGTTACCGACTTCATCCAAGTTTTGGAGTTTTCAGAATCCAAGTTCCTTGAGATGTACCAGGTACCTGGAAGATCGATACCTTCCAGACTCAGTAAATGGTTTCAATCTGCAGGAATGGCATTCAAAATCTCATGGAACCATTCCTCCACATTCCAGCAGGCCCCCAAGGTTTCTCGTAGGGCCGATGAGGAGAGTCACTGTCCCTCTAGATCATTCCACAGATCAGCTATTCTGATAACCCCTTGTTCTATCCATCTACGACCGAAACAGTTACGCCCAGAGTCCGCCCCAAACCAAGAGTCATCTACTCTCCTGATATGGGGATTTTCAAAGATAGGCTGCAGCAGAACCTCTGCCTTCGTAACATGATGGAGCCAGGAATCTGGTTTCAGAAGTTTCCAAGCATACATAACTGCCTTCCAGAAGTCCGATCTTATATTCCTGTTCTAGTATGAAGGCAACAGGAAGCATGTCCACACATCTGAGGGGCGGGCCAGTGGGATGTCTGTGACGAGCATTCTGCTTTAATAAGCCAGCGGACAAGCATAACCAAACTTCTGCGCTGGGGGT